TTTTCTTTGCACATCTAATCATAATATTCGTGATTTCGTTGCACAGGTTGTCAGGATGTTGGTTTAATTGGAGGGGATTTGTGTAAAGTTCATTGTATAAAAAGGTTAGTGAATCTAGACCAGTCAGCCTTCTTGAAGTTCCATGATAGCTTAGTTGGCACTTTCCTTGTCATGCTTTTGCTACCAAAGGTAATACTAGCAATGACTGGTTTGTGACCAGAACCAGGATCGTCCATTATTTTGCGGCATGTATGCTCGCTGATGTCGCTTGAAGCCAGGAGTAAGTCAGGAGTTGTTCTGGTTCCATTGTAGTGCAAATATGTATCCGGATCCTCATTGGTGTAAATAAGTTCCAGACGGTTGCTGTTTACCATGTCTTCGATTTCCTTTCCAGCTATGTTTGTATCCTTGTAGCCCCATCTGGTGGAATGGGCGTTGAAGTCTCCTAATACTATAGTTTTGTGCGAGATGTTCAGAAAGTCAAAGTTGGGGCTATTCTGGGGTGGTTTATAGACTGCATATATCTTAAGTGGTTTTGACATTTCCAAACATTTAATCTGTATATTTCGTATATATTTTGCGTCGAGGCCATACTCTTGATTAGATCGTAATGTGAGGTGGGGCCTTCTTTTACTCCAGTCACAATTCCACTTGCAACTTGCCGGTATTTAGGTAGAAGATACAGGGTGTAACCTGGGAATTGGTAATACATCAGTTTGTCATCCGAAAGGTTTGCTTCCTTAATTGTGAAAATGTCTACATCATAGGTTTGTAGAATTTTTTGGGCTTACATCTTTTTGCCCTGTGACATCCCTCCAGCATTCCATTGGAGGATCTGTAGACGTTGTGATACGCCCTGATGAGGGCGATTTCTTTTATAGCCCAATTTCAAGCTAATCATAAAATAGAAGTCGAATCAAATGCCGAGTGATAGACTTTTTTGCCGTAGGAAGATACGTTGTCCCGGGTGCACCATGTGGAGGTAAGTCTTTCGCGCACCCCTGATAAATATCATAAAGCCTGCCATTTTTAATAATAATAATATTGTGTGGAGAAATTAGTAATCTAACAACGATAGGTTATTTAAATCCAAATTAAAGATATAAACTTATTTAAAGCATAGAGTAATATAGTTTAACTCTAAATCCTTTGATCGAGAAATTTTTAATTCTCGAAAATTCGTAGTCTAACAATCTCTACATTTTTTGAAAGTATGGAACCAATGCATTAGGTGGAATTCATAATTTCCCAATGTGTGCTAAAATTGTTGTTGCCATGTTTGCTGAATATGTACATAATTCCCTGACGATCGCCTGATTTTTAACCCAAAACCACTGGACGTTTCTCCATTAGGTGCACGATTATGTTGCTTTGGTCAAGTTATGGCACCACCAAGGTACGTGTTCAGAGCGAAATTCGACATAAATGGCGAATTTTCATTTCGTCTGAATATCAGCTATCCCTTATTTCAAATATCATTCTCGTATAATTAATACATATCATAATTGAAAGTCCCCTCGTTTGTCACTTGATTTAGTTTCGATTATATGATTTCATAAATCCTTGACGTCACCCTGGGCAACGTATACTCATACGGCAAAAAAGTCTATCGACTGGCAGTTGACTTCTCACTTCAAACTACCACGACCCCCCTGGTTGTCATATTCGACCCCTTCTACTGTACTCACCTTACCTTTTTTTTCTACCTTTGTGTCTGTCTGCCTCTTTTACATCTGTGAATCGCTCTGCTACTTTGATGAACCTCCCCTCTGTGAAGCCCGAAGTCAGCTAAAGGGCTAATGATAAGTGTCATAAAGCCCGCCATTTGAAATAAATAAATCCTTGACGGTTAGTTATAAATATAAATGAAGGATCTGTATTTTTTTCAAAGATGTGGTTCAATAGTGTATAACAGCTGATTTACGGATTTCTAATTACTATTTTTATTTTTTCTTTCTTCTGACTACTCATGACGTTGATTTATTTGACTTTATCTTTGATTCCCTTCCTCCCCTTATCATCGTTGTGTGAATACATGTTGGCTCTATTAACTCGTCATTTACTCAGCACGCCTCTCGTAAGTTGTAACTACCAGGTTAGAGAGATTGAATAAAGCATCAAACCTTCATCAGGGGTTAGTTTAAAAAACAAAATTGTGAATACATTAATCACACTCTACCCTGCTTTCTCACAGGAAGAATTTTGCACATTGACTTAAATAGGCTGATCCTTGAGTTCTTTGAGTGCTTGTTAATGGAGGCTTGGGGTTTCCTAAGAATGGTTTGAACAATATGCAAAGTAGTCATAATTAAGAATTTTGCCAGTTTCATTTCTGTGCTGTTCTCTAACTAGATTGTTCATTTGAATGTCTTGTGAACCTTGTGCAAAGAACCAAAGAGCACATGTAAAACACATTTTGATTAAACGACAACTAAATAAACGGTGTCAATCACATCTGATTAGATAAAATAGTGAAACATAATCAACGACTGGAAAACATCATCTGAACTCAAACTGAGTTTAAACTACGAAGAGATAATAACATTTTATTTTAGGAAAAATCGAAGCTGGTGAATCAAAAAACCTTCGTGTCTCCTTTCAGTCCTCAGCTGAAGGAGCGTTCACTGAGACTTGGCAACTATTCACCGAGCCTCCACTCTTGCCTTCAGCTTCCCCAATCACACTTCACTTCTCTGGAGTTTCTTACCGAAGTGATGAGGGAATGAAGAACCAGAGAAGCATTGTTGAACAAGTAAATAACAGTCGATTTTCCCAAGTGGTTCAACTAACTATTTCTCTACTTAGATCCAGCGTCAGGTTACTGTTGAAATAACAAGAGAAGTTGTCAAAGATGTAGTGAATTCCATCGCTTGGAAAAAACCCTTAATACACTTGAGAAATGGTGATATGACTGTCATGAGGTGTTTTGGAAAGTACAATCCAGGGGTAATATTATGCGCATTATCGTTATCTAAACTTAGGATGGATATTCAAATGTTTATCTTTAGTAACATGGATGTTCTTTGTTTTTTATTATTTTAAAGCTGGAATTCTCGCTTGAATCGGTTCAGGTTCTGGAAACAATTCAAAAGGAATTAACCAATTATCATTCGAAAGATGCACACACGGAATACTTCTTAAAAAGCATAAGGAAGGCATGTCTGGAAAATACTTATTAGAAATATTTCCCTAGGATATAGTAGAACTACATTCAGGGGGCCTCATGAAACACGACAAGGCAAATGACTTACTTCTACGACTATATGGGGTCTTCGAAAATGTCTCAAGATCACACATTCCTTATCTTAAAAATTCAGGAGAAATATGTCACATGCTTTGGTAAATTTATTTATCTATTTGAATCAAAATATGTCCGAGTACTCGCAATGGAAAAAATAAGCTAATATATATTGTTGGAGTAAAATTAGTCGAAATTCTCTCTCCAATTTATGCTAATTTTACAAGTATCTGCAACGCATATTATTATTATTTTTGCACTCCTTGTTCTGTCACTTGATACATCTGAAGTAAAGTGGTACCTTGGGTTTATTAAGTGAGAAAAGTTAGCCCCTAACCCTAACCTATGCTACTACAAATGGGATGGAGATGGGGTATAAGCAAAGTTGTTAGTCATCTAGTTTTCTAAGGGTATGTGCAGTCAGTGAGTAGACTATGAGTGCAAAATGAGTAGGGAGAGCTGAGGCGTGGCTGGATGATCGTAGGGCTTTACTTTCAGTCCGATTTGGCATTTGTTTAAACGTTCAGCCATGCCATTTTAAATTATTATCTGGTCAATTATAAACCATAGGTGTGTCCGATTATAGGAATAGGTACTTTGACGCAGTTACGAGAATTTTGAGTAGAAATTAACGGAGGACTTTATTTTTTGAAAAGTCGATTAGTTAATTCGAAGTGCTTGGAAAGAATATTTGAAGCAATTGCTTATACTAGAAGCACAATGAAGCACTATTCACTACCGCAATTTCCTGCAAAGCGTGAGTAATGAATAATACTTATCATCAAGTAGACTATTTCCTTTTCTAATTCAAGCACCCACTATTTATTTTTCTAGTTCTATCTTGGCGCGAAATGATGATTTTTCGGGAGAAATCAATAGTACGTGCCTTCCTCCAATTAAGTCATTTTCTATTTCCAAAAATACCGATATCTATATTTCCGATGTGAGAATAAGATGATATTATTCCCTAAGAATTCAGATCTATTGGCCAAAATCAGATGGAAATTTATTAAAATTAATTTGCAAGATCTGAAGAAACGCACTTTGCAAGACGAGGAAATGAAACCAACGCCTCCAGGAAGCAACTATGAAAACACCAAAATTTGGATGCACTGGAGAAATTTCACGCGAATTTTAGTTCGTCATCTTCTACTAGAATCGGTGCATGAATTCATCACAATTTTAGAATAGTCTAACTCTTTCACGTTCACAAGTCAATAAATCATCACGCCACATGTTAACCATCTTGTCAGATAAATTAACCAATTTAAGGAAGGTGGATTTCATTCGAGTCCAAAGCAAGTGGAAAACACAAGAGCTTAAATGCATGGAGGGGGGTGAGGACATTATTCTACCTGTCGATTATGGCAATACAATTTGTAAAAGAACCCTATCCTCGGGAAAGCGTGGTCGTGATACTCATTGTGTTAGGGAGCAAATAAGGTCAGAGTAGCCAAAATTGTATTCACTGTCCAAGTTCCTTTTAAATAGCACATGTTCCAAATAAACGTGTTCCACGCCATACGTCAGTTTCCTTTATATCGTTGAGGTAGATTTGCTTACTTTAGGAGTCTTCCAATGCTAGGGCATCTTTCCAAAGAGGTTACTGAGGACAAGTCCAGGATTGTTTGCGCAGCATATTCTTAATTACTTATTCAGCTCTACTAGACAACGGTTAAGCTTGAGAAAGGAAAAAGAAGCCAAATCACTAAGAGAAAAGTATTCCTTATACTCTTTGCTATGCGAGATGTCATTTCGTTTTATGCATGGCTGGAAGACGGACGAATCAGATACTGATGAGTGATTTCTGCATTCTTGGTGACAGACTATGATTGGACCTAGTGTAGAATTATCCACAATTTATGACCTATTTGGCAGCGCCAGTGTCTGCGAATGAACTTGACAGTGACGGAAAGTTGAATATTGTAAAAATTATGCACAACTGGGCAATATTCACTACTGTTGCGCTGAGAATAAACGGATATCAATCTATTTACCAGATTTTTTAAAGAGAAATCGCTTTGAAAATACTAGGTTTTGAACAATTTAGCATAAGTACAAAAACGTGTCGCTGTAAAGTTAAGATTTTCAAAATTTGTACATTTTATATCAATACCTTAAAAATAATAAATAGCCTATCTGATTACATCCTCCATTTTATCATGAATTTCAAAGCAAATTAGTATATTTTATTTTTATTCCTTGATTTTATCTAAGCAAGTTCATTAGAAAGTTATCGGAAACGGAAAACCAACTTGAGATAGGAAGTATTGGTAATTAGTTTACAGCATTCACATTTTACCTTTGATGATTTAATGTTAATGATATTTGATAGGCGGGGTGTGCGATAGACTTACCTCCACATGGTGCACCCTGGGCAACGTATACTCAGACGGCAAAAGGTCTATTAACCGGCAATTGACTTCTGACTTCAAACTACCACGACCCCCCTGGTTGTCATTTTCGACCCCTTCCACAGTACTCACCGTACCTTTTTCTCTACCTTTGTGTCTGTCTGCCTCTTTTACATCTGTGAATCGCTCTTCTGTTCCCCACCCCTCGACTTTCTGCTACTTTGATGAACCTTCCCTCTGTGATGCCCGAAGTCAGCTAAATGGCTAATGACATCTATCAAAACGCCTGCCATTTGAAATAAATAAATATTTGATAGGCCATTCCAATACGGAATAAATATTATAAGTGATGCATCGCATCAGTAGAACCTATTAAGGAAAGCAAACATTATAATTTAAAGTAAAAAATAAACATCAATATTCAAGTCTGAAATGGGGCAATAATTTGAAACTTAATTTGTCTATAATAAACGCAGACTAAACAGTTTTATAAAACAACCATAATTCATCAGTGCAACGACCGAAAACATTTGAATAATTTAAAAAAAACAAAATAATAATTCTTCTTATTTAGATTGCTTGATAGGGCTATAAATAGACCGTCTTATTATAGCT